GGGGGGGGGGGGGAGATCTCTCACGGAGGAACAGTTGCTCCACTTTTCCTCTTTGCTCTCTCACTTGCAATTCTTTTTTATTTCAGATTTAAGCCCAATTCTCATGTTTGATATAAGATTATGACATCAATAAATCTGATACATTCTTACCTTTCGTTATTTTTCGCTGTTTATGTTTGGATCCAAAGTTAATTATGCTTGGCTAAGATTTACCTTCTTTATTATTGATAATTGAAGTTGGCAAAAGAGTCTTAAACTTTTCTGCTTAAACAACCACCAAAGAGTGTAACGTGATATTTTTTTTGCTATCCTTAATGTGAGGTTTTGGATTTGAAATCTGAGAATAAAATTTTTCTTGTAGGCTTGGAAACCTCAATTTAGGATTTTTGACAATTTAGGTAGAATTTTGGTCAAGGCATTTGCACCAGAGGGCACATGACCTCGCTTCATCATCTGCTTCGGGAAGACCAGCTTTGCCTTAATGTTTTCCATATCAATTGGCAGCTCTCATTGTAATGTTCAAAATCATTTCTATTAGAAAAAAAAATAAGAGAAACTAAAGAATTGATACCTTTCTTATTGTTTTTGACGGCATGATATTCATCAAGCAGCTGAAGAACAGAGTGCGTAAGATCCAAAAAAATTCTCTAATAGCGAAAATGTTTTTTTTTTTAAAAAAAAGGTTAAGAAGACATTTGAAGAAAATGATATGAAATTTTATTGAACTACTTAAGCCTCAAAATTGTGTGGCTATTATAAGGGCCCTTGATGTCACTTGATTGATAAATTATTTCCAGTACACACTTCTAAGTTTATGATGCTCCAAAGAAATTCTAATGCATTACTAATACCAAGGTCAATTAAGTGTATCACAAGTTTCGATTAAAATCTTGAGACAATTTCAGAGAGTAATATTTTGGAAACACAAGATTATATTCAACAATTTTGACGACATGCGTTATCTTCAAATTAACATCATTTCCAAATACCACTTGAAGATATATGTGATTTACATGGAGTACAGTTGAAGAAAAGATGAAGGGAAAATACATGGAATGTTTATTCAGTGGGCAGGAGCCTTTAGAGCAACATGAGCGGAAATGAGAGAGATTAGTGTGAAGAGAGTAGCTAATAGAGAAAGACCCGCCGACACAAAAATCTTGTTGAAGAAACTTGTGGGCTCTAAGTCGGCAGCTCGGCTCAATTCCAGGGTAAAACCATAAGTTGCAGCAGCCCCTGAAACTAGTACATTTGCTATGATCTGCTTCAAATTAACGTATATATTTGAAACAATTCAAGTGTTAACGCATATATTTGAAAATAAATTAAAAGAAGAAGCGTATGAAATTTTTTGAAGAGCTTTGGGACTGGATGCTAAAACTGGGTGCCAAATATACACAGTGGCAAATTACGGGCGAGAAGAAGGAAAAAAACAGAGGTTCATACCATGTCACCAAATAGATCTAACAAACTGACTCCAATGCTTAGCGACAGTACTGTTTGAAAGAGATTATACGCAATTCCCACGCCAATGCAGCCGAGCATGTAACTGCAATTAATTACCATATCCAACATATTAAAAGAATTTAATAAAGTAACCGAAAAAATAATGCAATTACAACAGAAAAGTAAGGTAGAAAAGAATGGACTATGTTTCAACTAATTACAATCACCTTATCTCTGCATTATAATCCTTGAAATATTAATCTCTGCATTGCAATCCCTATATTGCTAATCACTACATAACTTGTCTCTAAACCAGTTAACTAAACGATCCTAAACTTGGTCCAAATTAGCATCAAAACGGTCAGTATTAGATTCTGATCGTTCTGCTTTGATATTGTGCTTCTACAAATTAATATATATTCTTCCTTTATATAAGCAGAACAACAAAAATTACCAAGGGGGTGTAAGAGAAATAAACTTACATATAAACACGAAAATCAGTAAACTTTGTTTGAAGTTGCTCGTCAGTGTAGAAAAGGCTTTCATTGTCGGAGTACTGGGAGCTCATAAGAAGAATGACGAGTGCTCCCACGAGGCACGCAAAGGCAACAAGTCTCACTACCAATATTACTGCTTTTCCCATCTTCTTCAAACCTTCTCTAACTCCCTCCTGATTAGTACCAAGTATTCTTCTTTGTCCCTCTTTATTTATAAGATTTTAGGAACATCAAATTTGTCACCTCTTTGACTTGAGAGTTTTGATGAGACAAGTTATATCCTAGTACTCGTCACGTTCAATGATTCCACATATTTTGTAAATGAAAACAAAGGTTGGTATTAGATTCTAGAAATTCTTTCCCAAGATTTTAGAATTTTATACTAGCGCAAATTTTGTATAGGTTACACGTGCACAATAGTTTTAGGAATAATGCCAATCATAACTCAAAAGGTTGAGTGCTTTACAATAATTATGTGCCAGCACAAATTGTTAAGTTATAAACGCTCGTAAGAATGTAACGATCCGACCAGTCGTTTTGAGTATTTTAGCCCCAATTCCCCTATTTGATGCCTTCTATATGTGTACTTGTGGTTACGCGACTTACCCGGATGATTGGTTTGGTTTTAGGTGAGGTTTGGATTGATTTAGGACATTTAGTCCCTTGGTTGAATGTCGTAGTTGTAAGAGTTGATCGGAGTTTGACTTTTTTGTAGACGGCTCTGGAATGGTATTTTGATAGCTCTAATAGCTTCGTATGATGATTTTCGACTTAGACGTATGTCCGTATGTGAATTTGGAGGTCTGTAGCTTATTTTGGCTTGAATTGGCGAAAGTTGGAAAGTAGAAGGTTTGGAAGGTTGATAGATTTGACCGAGGGTTCACTTTATTGATATCGGGCTCGGATTGCAATTTCGGGAGTTGATATAAGTTCGTTGTGTCATTTGAGACTTGCATGCAAAATTTGAGGTCATTCGGAGTTGTTTAGGCTTGTTCGGCGCAAGTTTTATTGGAAATATTCATTAGTTCATTAGGCTTGAATTATAGTGCGATTCGCAGTTTTGATTTTGTTTGGCGTGATTTAAGGCCTTAAGTAGGTTTATGTTGTATTTTGAAATTTTATCGGTATGTTTGGATGGGGTCCGGGGGGCCCAGATGTGTTTCGGGTTGAGTTCGGATCAATTGGAGGCTTTGAGGAATGGCTTAAAACTACTGAGGTTTGGTGCTTTCGCACCTGCGATGTTTGGGCCGTAGAAGCGGCAAGTTGACTGCATAGGCAGCATTTGGCTAAGGGAACTGGGTCCGCATGTGCGTACAAGGACGTTCAGGTGCGGAACCGCAGTAGCGGATTTGAGTTAAGGGAGTAGGGAATATAGGTGCGGAGGTTTGTCCGCAGAAGCGGAAGCGCAGGTGCACACTTGGGTCCACAGAAACGGAATCTCTGGTCTTAAGTGGAGACCGCATCTGCAATGCTTTTTTCGCTGATGTGGAGTCGCAGAAGTGATTGTTTATCCTCATAAGCGAAATGCCTAGGTAGGTTATAAGCTTGGACGGGGGTTTTATTTTATTCATCACACTTTGAGTTAGAGAGCTCGATTTTAGAGGAGATTTTCACAAGTTGGGTTGGGTAAGTATTTTTAACTCGGATTTGTCCATTATCCATGATTTTATCTTTGTTGTTATTATTTAGTTGGTGATATAAATTGGAGAAACTGGAGATTTTGTAAAAATATTTCTAAATATAAAAATGAGGATTTGAAGGTTGATTTGAGGACGAAATTGGATGATTTTGGTATAGTTGGACTTGTATCGGAACGAGGTATTCAGAAATTATCAGTTTAATCGGGTTTGAGGTGCGGGGCCCAGGGTTGACTTTTTGAGTTCACTTTTAAATTTTCATTAAAGATCGAATCTTTATTATCCGAAATTGCTTCCTATGATTTTTATTTATGATATTAAATTATTTTGTCTAGATTCGATCCGTTCAGAGTTGGATTTGCGCGGGAAGGACTTATTAGTAGATTAATTTAGCTTGTTTGATGTAAGTATCCTACCTAACTTTGTGTGGGGGGAACTATCCCCTAGGTTTTGAGTTGTTTGTACTATTTGAACTATGTGGAAGGCATGTACATAAGGTGACGAGTGTGTACACAGACTTCTATGTGAAAATGGACTGGTTTAGACTCTTAGGTTACTTATAAGCATTTCAATGAAGTTGTTAATAATTATTCTATCTTTTTTGTCAAGTTTATTCTTACATACTTTAAATGAAGTTGTTACTACATGTTCTAGTTTCTATTGACGAGATCACTCTTATATGCATTTAGTAGTAGTAGTTGTTACATGCTATTCTTTCTATTTTTGAGTTATTCTCATGCGTTTAGTTATAGTTATTATTTCATGCTATCTCTTCATTATTAAGCTTATGCTATGCATTAGAATTTGAAGTTTCCATTTCATGGAAATACATGTCCCTGGTTGTAATTGTTGGTTATTGGAATACCTTTCCTTGTTGAGTTATTTCTCATTCATTTATTATTATTGAGATTCTTGTACACATTGTAATTGAGTCGTGGTCTATATGTTGTAGTGACGTTGATATTATTGATTTTGGCAATGTTGTGGCATATGGACACGTATGGTGCGAGTTGATTATTGTGTTGTATATTGATGTGCATGTGGCGGTATAAGAGTAGGTATTAATGCGCATGCGACGAGATAAGGTGAGATTTATACGCGTGTTACGGTAAAAGAATTACTTGAAGCCACACGGTGAGATAACGCGGCTAAAGCTCGTGTAGCTATTTTGAAAAAAATATTTTTAAAAATAAATACAAGGCTCACGTGGTGATATAAGAAAGATTGTGATGGTGAATTGTGAAATATGAATATGAGGTGGTACCTCGGTTGTGATTCTTGTTGTACATTCTATGTTGAAAAGGCTTGTTGATTTGAACGATTATTATTTTTTCTTCATTCATTTTACTTGTATTTTTACTGTATTTGATCTCTTATTGTGCTTATCATATATTCTCTATTTGTTGTCCTTTATTGCATTAATTTCTGTTGTGAGCCTTATATCATCGTACTGTTTTGTTGTCCTTTACTTCTTCGCCTTCCGTTGTTACATTATATAATATTCTGTTAAGGTTTTTATGTCTGGTAGGTGTCAGGACCTGGCCTCATCACTAATCTACCGAGGTTAGGTTTTTCTACTTATAGGGTAACGTTGTGGTGTACTCATGCTATGCTTCTGCATATTTTTGTGCAGGTCCAGGTATTTCTGCCCGTACCGAACACTAGGGAGTTGACTTAGATATTTCGGAGACTTCAAGGTATACCTTCTTGATGCTCGCAGGCCTTGGAGTCACCTTCTTCTATTGCCTTTACTACTGTTTATCTTGATATCCAACAATGTTGTATTTAGAGATTATTAGTGTATTCTCTTTAGAGCTTATGACTCAGTTCCACCGGTTTTGGAGATTACTTGACTGTTGTTCCGTTTAGGCTTATTATGACATTTTATCAGTTTAATTTATTATCTTAATTGTTATTTCTGCTAAATTATTAATATGTGTTAGATTTATCTAGTCTTAGAGGCTATGTACCCTCACGATATCCAGAGGTTACAATTTGGGATCGTGACAAAGATGTAAAAGATCACAAGTGAAAAATGAGACTCTTTTAATTATTTGTGTTATTCTTTTCTTTTGTGTAACTAGATAGCATACATCCAACATATGTGATATTTGTTGGTTATTGATGGTGAATGAAGACACGAACTTTAAAAGGTTTATTTATGATTGCGTGTCCATATAGCTTTGAAGTCAAGTCTATTTTAGGTTGCTTTAGAAAAACATGCAATCTTCTGAAGGGAAAAGAATGCATAAATGGATAGATTGACTTGTGACTACTGACTAAAGGTTGGAATAATGGATTTTGTAAAAAAAAATTGTATGCAAACTCGTGTCAAAGCTCGTTGTAAAGAATATAGGTTAACCTTAGTTAGCCTAACTTAACTATAGTATTAGTTAGTGTTAGTGATGTACAACTGTCCTAAGGTGGTTAGTTAGTTAAATATACTGTAGCTTCTTCTTCTTAGTAGTCGAGTCAGTTGTATCAATATACAGAGCATAGCTCTTGTCCAATTCTCTCTAAATAATTCTCAATCTCAATTTCTCTCTTCAATTGCACATTGTAGAATACTACATGGTATCAGAGCATTGATCGAGTGATTCTAGGGAATTTCTTCGCATAATTGAAGATAATTCGAGAGAATCTGCTCAAATTCAGAAGCTTTGAACCCTAATTTTGTGGTCTATCAATGGCGCCTCTAGAGAACTCTACTGATAATGCGAACAATGGAGACAATACGAGCATCAGAATGATACCTAGCTTGATTGTGTTAGATCATAATCATCCTCTCTACTTGCATGCATCTGATGGTCTGGGATCGATGTCTGTGGGACTCATTTTGACAGGTATGGAAAATTACTCTCTTTGGAGCCGTGTAATGAAAGTAGCGTTGTTAGGAAAGACCAAATTATGTTTAGTTGATGGATCAACGGAGGATTTTGGTCCAAATCTAGGAAGTCAGTGGGATCGGTGCAATGCGATTGTGACTTCATGACTTATGAGCAATGTGAGAAGAGATTTGGTAACATGAGTGCTATTTTCTTCGAATGCACATAAGGTATGGGCTGCTTTCAAAGAACGTTTTGACAAAGTGAATGCATCAAGATTGTATTACTTGCATAAGGAAATATTCACCCTAACACATGGGATTTCGTCAGTATCGATTTATTTCACCAAGCTAAAAGACCTTTGGGCAGAATATGATTCCATACTGCCACTCCTACATCAGCCACTGAGTATATTGAACAATTGGAGTATCAACGACTGCTACAATTTTTGATGGGATTGAATGACAATTTTAAGCAAGCAAGGAGTCAGATTCTACTAATGCCAAGCTTGCCATCTATACATAAGGCTTATTCTATGGTAGTTCGGGAAGAAAGCAGGAAATCATTTACTGGTGGTACCTATGGGCAAACTGGGCATAATAACCCTACTGCATTGTTTACTGCTCAATCTATATCTAAGCCAAGGAGAAACTATAGCTTAGAATGTGATTTTTGCCATATGAAAGGCCATACTAGAAATGAATGTTATAAATTGATGAGGTGTGAA